ACAAAACCCTTATCATCAGCCCCTCAAGGGCAAGTGCCCTCTACTAATAGACCAGGCGTGCAGATCCAAAGACCAACTTGACTTTCCTTCATCTTCCTTTGTTTCCTCTGAGAAAGCAAAATCAGCCTTGGCACTGTTTTGCCTCCCTTTTTTATCCTCAATGTCTCTTTTTCCTAATTATTTGCACTAGTAGTAATTAGAATCTAAGTTGGTGAGTAAAAGGAATTTATAAGTACACAGGATACTTAAGTTTTGAGTAAGGGCATTTGACGTTGGGGAGGGATCACAGAACTTCCCTTGTTATATGGCAGCCTGTTTCATCTTCCACAGAAGGGAGGGTTAAAAATTTCTGATAAATCATATATTTTTTAATTCCCTGGGACCCTATTTAGGAACACTGCTATTGTTTTCTTATTCTTCCTTTTTAATATTAAAAAAATTGTTCTGCTTTATACTCTATTGTTCTTATTTTACTGTACCTCTTTCGAATTTCTTTATTTTACTTTATCTTCTCATTCCTTCCTAACGCCACATCTCTGTATTTTCCAAGTCTCTAACTGGCTCAACTGTCTTAGCAATTAAAAGTACTAAATATTCTTTTCTTTGGGTCATTCTGAGACACACTAAAGGACAGTCTTGCAAAATGTTCTATGGTTTTGCTAACAGAGCAGAGCTGGAAAGCTACTAATAGTGGTCAGTTACAATCCAGGCTCTCAAGTTATTTTTCTTTTTTTGGTTGTTGAACGTAGGTAATGTACTTTATAATTCAGTAAATCTAGATTAAATGAGTGCAGTTAATGCCAGGTACATATAAATCAACTTCTGAGACAAGGAGAGAACAGGAAACATATTAGGAATTTACTCTTAAATATAGTAGCCTTGGGAGGCATGGACGCTAGAGTCGGGCTGCCTGCATTTGAATCCAGTTTCAGCGCCTTATTGACTTGTGACTTTGGCCACATCCATCTTTTTCCTTCTTTGCCTCAGCTTCCTCATGTGTAAAGTGAAGGACAGTTTTTACCTCAGAGGGTTGTCACGAGGATTAAATTTTAGTTTACAAAAAGAACTTAGAACAATGCCTGGTAAGAGTAAGCACTCCAAAAATGTCAGTTACTACATTCAGAACTATAATAATAAATAGATCAAGGCCCTATGAGCATTTTTAGGGTTTAGAAGTATATGTTTTTGTAATGTTTCTGATTTTTAAAAGATCATAAATGTGGTTTGGATTACTCTGAGAAAATACGTTTGGCTTAATAACTGATTAATGAGTTTTTGAAAAAGAAATCACTTCGTATGACCCAGCACAGAGTGTAAAGTTAACTAACAGGAGATGTCTGGCTGGCATAAAAATCATTAAAGAAAATACTGAGCATGGTGTGAAACTCCACTCTGAAACACATGCTTTACATTATTGTCCCATCAGTTCTCAAGTTCCCGGCATATGTCACTGAAGCAGACAGACTCGGTTTTTTTTTCAAGTAATCATTCTCTGTTACTGCTTTTGACTTAGATAAATGACCTTCTAACTAACAATTGGGAAACCTTTTGTAGGCTTTATTTGTGATTGTTATTTAAAGTGATAGCTATGAAAGACTGTCAAAATATATTTAACATTGCACTTTTCAAAAGGAAAGGATAATTCCTTTGATAATAATACTGAAACGATAACAGAGTCCCAGATATAGGATGGAATAAGGTCTGTGAGCTCATGGATGGCATTCATCTGCCAAGACGGGGAAATCTGTTTCAGGCGCTAACCAGTTTTGCCTGCTTCACACTGCTGAGCACACTTGAGTTGGTACGGTGCACAGGGTAGTGCCCCAGCAAATTACTTTTCCAGCTGGGAGAGACTACGGCATTTTTGCCTCTTTACAGTAATGGATGGAGTCCTGGCGGCACAGTGGATAAGAGCTTGGCTGCTAACCAAAAGGTCGGCAGTTGGAATCCACTAGCCGCTCCTTGGAAACCCGTTGCTCCTTGGCAACGGGTTTTGGTTTGGCACTACCACTGCCTGTTGTCGTTGAGTCAATTTCGACTCATAGTGACCCTACAGGACAGATTGGAACTGCCCAATAGGATTTCCAAGGAGTGGTTGGTGGATTTGAACTGCCGACCTTTTGGTTAGCAGCCGAGAGCTCTTAACCACTGTGCCACCAGGGCTCCAGTAGTAGTACAGTAATGGATAATGCACAGCCATAAGGCTGGCTTTTCATTGAAGATGTGACTAAATTGAATAGCCTCAATGTTTCCTATACACAGTGAAATCTGTGAGAGCCGGAACTTGATGGGACTGCCTTGTTTTTCTGGGTCTTGCAAGTTTTCTGCCTTTAACATGGTGCAGTCTTACCACTTTTCTATTGTTCCCTATTAGAGGAAAACATTTGAGTTTTTCTTCTCTGACAGGTTTCCACCTTACACAGGTTTTGGCTTTTGCAGGCTTCACTGTATTCAATAATGTACTACTTTTAATAAATAATATTTCTGAATAAATATTGAACATAACAACTACTTTTATTGTTTATACATGGAGTTATGACAGCTTATATCTAATATGCATAGTAATGAAACCAATGCAAAAACAAAGTATAAATCTGCATTTTGAACTGAGACTTTTAAGAGGATTGTACCATTAATTAGGAGTCCCTGGGTGGCACAAACAGTTAAGCGCTAGGCTACTAACTGAAAGGTTGGTGATTCAAATCCATGCCTTGGAAACAAGGTTTGGCTGAAAAATCAGCCACCGAAAACCCTATGGAGCACAGTTCTCTGACACACGTGGGGCCTCCATGAATTGAAATCCATTCGAAGGCAATAGATTTTTCTTATCATTAATTATAAGAGTTAGATCTTTAGAATTTTAGGCAGCATGATCTAGTGGAGCAAATTTAGGCTTTGGAGTCAGACTAATTGGCTTTGGAGCCTGGTTTGTTTATTTCATAGTCATCTGAGGCTGCACAAAGTATTAAATCTCTCTAAATCTATTTCTTAATCTATAAAATGGGGACAGTATCCTCCCTGAAATCTTTCAAGAATTCAATTAGGTATATATTCAGTTAGCTATATCCACCTCCCACTTGGTGGACAAGCAGAAAAATTTTGTCTCTGCAGTATTCTATTCAATTTCTTCCCTCCTTCTCAGTGGAAAAAAACCTGAAACATTAACTAAATTCCCAGAATAGTGATCAAGGTTTTCAGTAAAAGGAAAGTCCATGTGTAAAATGATTACCAAGAAAGTACTTTATAGGCAGCAACGGGGGCCTACCCTCAAACAGGTCAGAGAACATATAGCTTCGTTTCCTTGGTTATTAATTCTGTGGTAACTAAATCTCAAAGTACACAAACTTGGAGGTTTTCCTAAGTATTTTAATGAAAACACCATTTGCATAGACAGGAAAGACACACAGGGAACTGAAAGAATTCTCTTATTCGCTGGAGAAGATCCTCCATAAAAAAATAATTGTACTCAGGTCTCTAGAATGTTTTGTACAGGAACCCGATACATAGGAAGTGGGCATTTTGTGCCTGGGTTCCCAGCACTTGATGAACCGTGGGAAAGCCTTCAGGATGAAAACCTGATTTGGGGAGGCTTGAACTAAGTTTATTTTAGAGACCGATCCAGACCATCTTGGACGCCAAGTGATCTCTGAAGATGTAAAATCTAGCACGGGACGATGATCTATGCAGGGAAGGAGATGACGGGTGACCGCCACCGGACCTCCTACGTGGAAGCTGGAAGGAGCCGGCGGCAGGAGCCGAAGGCCGCCCTCGGGGACCCGGCAGGCTCTGGGTTCCCTTCACATTCTCCCCGTAACCCTCAGTCCAGAAGAGAGGTTGAGCTTGGAAGAGGCGCGTCAGGCGCCTGCCTCCCTCCACACGCACCAAAGACTAGGGCATCCGCGGCTCTGCCCCTAACCTGCAGCTGGGCCCGGGTAGAGCCCCGGGCGCAAATTCACCGTGCAATCACTAACCAGACATTACCCCCGGGGAGCGGGGATATCTATTTAGAATTTGAGGAATTCTTCAGAAACTAGCCAGTGGGGGAACGGCCCTCCGTGGAGGTTGAGCTCTCTCAGCCCAGACCGCGCAGCAAGAAGCCTCGGGATCATTTTTATCAGCTCCCCTTGCTCCGGCCTGATGTTCTTCTATGTCAATCCGTCCCTAAAAATAATGTCCAAGCGGGGAGGCAAAGTTTTAAAAAGATAGCATCCAAGGTCCCTCAGGGTGCCGAAGGCCCCGACAGTCCCACGCACCGGCCAGCGCCTGGGGCGTGAGCGCGAGCCCGCCCCAAGGACAAACGGCGAGGCGCGCAAGGACCCGCTGTCCACCGGAGCTCTCCCGCCCTGAGCTCTCCCGCCCTGAGCTCTCCCGCCCTGAGCTCTCCCGCCCTGAGCTCTCCCGCCCTGAGCTCTCCCGCCCTGAGCTCTCCCG